GACTTTTGGTAGAAGAAAGGGCGGTTGAGAACTGCGATGAGTTTCTCGGCCAAAAGTGAGTGATGAAGGATGAAACTATTTTCACACAGCTGCAGCTTACTTTTTTTCTAGAACATGTTTCTAATTATGCTGATTCCCTGTTGCTCCATCTGGAAACCGATTCTCCATAATTAGCCCAGTCTCATTATTTAATAACCTCAACAGCACTGGGACCACAGTTGATTGAAATGACTTACTAATAGGCCAACTTGTACAGCTTATTGTTCTGAGTAAAATTAATAAGTACAATGACATGAAAAGTATTCCCCCTCCTCAGAATTTTCTTCTTTATTGCTTTTTAGCACTAAATCATAGTCAGTTTAATGTGACTTTTCTGACTGGAATTTACAAAAAAGACTTTCATGTTAAAATGAAAAAAGATCTTTACATAGTCATGTTTTTTGATGGACACTAAACACTGCACATCATCACAAACCAACCATCCCCACCGTGAAGCCTGGTGGCGGCAGCATCATTATGTGGGGATGCTTCTCGGCAGCAGGCCCCGGAAGGCTTGTAAAGTTGTAGGATAAAATTAATGCAGCCAAGCATAGTGAAATCCTGGAGGAAAATGCGTTAATTTGCTGCCAAGCTGAAATGTGATGAATGGGATGAGAAGATCGATAATACCATCATGTCTGCATAGTAAAATTAGCTAGTGTTAGCTTAGCGTAGCATTTATGTTTAGCTGTACTAAACTGTCACTGCAATTGAAAATGCTCTTTTAAGAAGCAATTTCACACACATTTTTTTGCACAGTTACTTTTGTAATGTTGAAAACAATCTTTAAAAAAAAAAAAAAGCCATGTTTAAAACATCCACTGGCAGCATGTTAAACAAGCATTCTTTCATATCTTAATTTAGTAGAAAAAAACAAGCATTAATCAATATTCTGCCTGAGTTCGGAATGAAACAATATATTAAAAGTTTTGTTCAATAACATTCAAGAAATGAGCGTTTAGTCTAATATGTCATTAGAAAACTGTACTCATTAATACCCTCAAATCATTTGAAGGCTGTTTGCTCAAAAAAATAGTTCAGCGTGTTGTGAGATGATCTAATTCACCTGGGCACTGAGACTTACTTTCATGTCAGAAGGTACAATCAGTCTATTTGCTTAGCATTCAGTCTGGAAACAAAGGGAAACTGCTACACTGCCTGTCACTACTAATACTTCTCAAGCTTCTTTCTTTACCTTTGGAAAGCCAGAAACTTTCCCCATGATTCCATTATTGCTGTGAGCTGCTCTGCTCTGTGTGGATTCCTATTAGTAACATGAAAGCATATCAGTTTTCAGCTATCTTGTGGCACAAAAGTAAACCTGTTGGGCGACATGATAGCTGAGTGGGTAGGGAGGAAACAACAAGGGTTCAACGTCTATCTAATAAAAAAGTCAAAATGAAAAAAAAACAACACTAAAACTAAAGAAAGCAAAGCTGTAAGTGCACTGCAATAAGTTAAATGTTACTACTAATGTGTGCATCACTATAGGAAACCTAGGCAAACCTGTAAATATTATATTTGTGTACAGTATAATAGGATGACATAAACACAGTTTTTGAGGTTTTCAATAAATGACAAACACAAAGTTTAGAAAATGTCCTTCATTTGGTACAAAGTTGAAATTGTTACATGACAGGATGAAAAAATGTACATTACATGCATGACTTGTAAATAATAATAATAATAATAATAATAATAATAATAATAATAATAATAATAATAATAAAAATAATAATAATTTTTAAAATGTGGTTTTAGGATTAAACACAGTGAAAACACGTGAAACTGTGGATCCCAGATTTATCTACTACAAGGCAGCTCTGGACTTAATATTTATTTATGTGATAAAAAACATATACAGCATGCATACTGTACTTCTGCATCAGAAAATCACAGTTATTCACATCAGTGCTTTGTCTTGCTGTCAGTTTCATCCAAAATATGTCAAATTAATAGAAGGAGCACCATAGACCTGGGATCAGCGTGGAAAACATACTGTGTAACATGTCCCGCTTAGGTTTTATAGTAAAAAATAAATACATTATATTGACATATGCTCTGTGTGGAACTCTAGCAGTTACTCAGGTCTTAAATGTTAATTTAGTGTCACAAAACAAGATATAATCACACATACAACAGGAAGCTTAAAGTGCAAACTACATAAAGGTTAAAGGGAAGGGTTGGATTACTTAAAAAAAAAAAAAAAAAAAAAAAACACCTCGGTCTTACTTCATGGAGAAAGAGCGTTGTGTTTCATGACCTTCACTAGTGTTACTTTACTTTTAGCTTTATTGAGAAATCCCCTCCTGAGTGAAGACTTCAGTCTGTTCAATTTTCTATCGTCTCAGTCACTCATTTATCTTCACTTTCGCCTCATTTGACCCTTAAATGCAACATTTAAGAAGATATGCCAGTTTGTTTTCAAGCTGAAATGTGAGAAATGGGTTGAGAAAGAAACACCCTCATGTCTGCATAGTAAAGGTGAAGCTACTGTGCTATTAGCTTAGCTTAGCATTTATGCTACGTTACATTCAAACTAAATTAAAAATTAGGTTAGCCATTGTTAGCACATAGCAGTTACATGTCCATGGATTCAGTGTCCATACAATTGTCAAGCAAATATTAAACAAGCGTTTAAAATGTTGTAAAAAACACAATTAAAAAATATATAAATTGAATATGAATTAGTTATGTTTGAATTAAGTACTTTGGAGCCAATAAACTCTGCTAGTGTCATCAGTTGTTAAAAAAAAAAAAAAAAAAAAACCAGAGCAGAAAAAAACTGGAAACAAAACCAGTTGGTTTGCTAACTGCTAATAAAAAAGAAAAAACTTAAAGAACAAAACTTTTGCTATCTACAAGACAAAACAAAGGAGGGGGGGGGGGGGGGTCCCTCAGGAATTATTTTCACTCCAAAAAGTTTAAACTATTGTTTCACATCAGCTGGTATTGGACATGTTCCATGTTGTCTGAACACGAAGACAAAAAAATTTGATTTCTTTTGTGATTTAACTGCTTATGAAAAAAAAACAAAAACAAAAAAAAACACCTCAAGCCAGCATAAAAACTAGAAGTTGGGTTTTGTCTTTTTCTTTGTCAAGTTTGAGGTGTGGATTATCTTTTTCGAAATCAATACTTCGAAATGTGTTTAAAATACAGAAACATGAAGTTGGACAGTGCTACAACTATTTTAATAAGAAGCAGATAAGACAGAAGTGCTAATAAACACTACATTACTGTGGCTGTCGCTACTTTTGATTTCTTCTGGTTTTCTGAGTTGAAAATTCGACATCAGGAATTGTTGCAGTTGGCAAGACTGGAAACAGCTAGCTGTCTGTCCAAAGTTAATCTACCTAGCAGCACCTTTAAAGCTCAAAGTGTAAACTTTTGTAAAGATTACATATGAGATATAACAAACAAAAATCTATTTTAAATGTGCTGCTAGATAGATTTTCCCCTTTGTTTCAGTCCTTATGCTAAGCTAAGTGGCTATTTGTTTTATCTTCATACTTATCACACAGACATGAGACTGGTGTCCATTCTTTCCATATAACTCTTAAGTAGAAGTTGAAGAGTGTATTTCTAATGTCAAACATTCACTTTACCATATTTTATTGCTGCATTTCAGTCTTTTCTGTTAATGCTGCTGTCATGTGGAAGTGTTTTAGTATGAATTCTTCATTTTACATTCAATAAACATTCAATAAACTGATGTGCAGCATGCGGTACACTACTGAAAACAAGCATGGAACTCTGCTGCTTTAAGCATTAAGGCATGTTCACACAGAAATTCCAGCAAGCTATACCACTGGCCCATTTACTTGCCTTAAACATCCAATGTACTGATGAATATACAGTTGTGACTCGATAATGCGACACTTTCTTCTTTTATGTTGGATTGCAAGGCTGTCAGATTGTCAAGATGGAGGTCGAGATACAAGGAGGGCTTGATGCTTGAAGGGTAATTTGTTGTTAATTATTGTTCATAGTTATTATAATAACTAGTAGGGCTGGTCCGAATAGCACTTTCTGGTCTCTGGATATATAATTAATGATGAATATCAAAATATTCGGTGCAGTTGGGGGGACACTTCCACGCTTGCGGTGTGACATCTTTGCATCCTCTTCTGTGCATGCAGGACACTTCTGGGCCATATGAAGTTCACACAGGAGATCACATACAAGTCGCATTTAATTGGAAATGTGAACGAACTTGCAAAAAAATCGGATTTCACGAAAAAATCTGAATTGAGCATTAAGTCCTGCAGTCTGAATGTAGCCAATCTGTCGGATTGTTAAGTCAAATAATACACTGTTATCCTTATTTGTGACATAAAATGTCATGTCGGAGTCGGAATCCAAGACTGTCGGTATGTTCAGGCTATTTTTCATAGGTTCCGTTCGTTTTTCCTAAAAACCTATTGGATAGCAAGCTTTTCAGATTGCTAAGGGTCGGATTATCGAGTCACGACTGTATTTGTTTTTTTCATCTGCTCTCCGCCCCTTTTCTTCCTATCTCTTGCCGAAAGGAAAGTACACATTTTTTTTGCCCAGGTTTTGCAAAATGTGCACTCACTTTGCTTCAAATTACGGATTGTGCTCGCTTATATCATTGAACTGACTTTGCATGCAATCACACTTCTCATTCTGTCTGAGCACACCAGACGTCTCAAGCTGCACTTCTTCAAACTGCGACCGAACGTTCCAAAAAAACTGAAATTTAAAAGTCAGTTTTAAAAGTCCTTTAAAAGTTCATGGTCAATATTTTCTGGTGGGAGTTATGGTTTTGATCATTTGTCCAATTTACTTCATGTCAGAGATGTTAGTCAGTGGTTGCTTTTCATAGTGGTAAACCCCAAATCAAGGCTTGAAATTGTCCTTCAGAAGACTTTGGGTGGTACCACAGATGCTACATTCACATTTTAAAATGTTTCATGTACAGAAATTGGAAATAGAAATTCCTTCATGGCCTTTATTACGCGCTGAAGCTTCTGTTGTGTTTTTGTTTCCTCAAGTGGCAACATTTAACCAGGAGCCCCAACACGATCATCACAACTAGCAACGTCATAACAACAACAATGACGTAGTTCGGGAAGTTCGGTCTTTGACACATTTCCTGCGTCACCTTCCCGATGTTGACGGGCTCTGAATATTCCTCGTAAATGCAGGTGACGGTCTCGATGTCGGGGATGACCACCGCCGAGTTCTGCACCATGTAGAGGAAGCCGAGGTTCCTGCAGCAGCTCAGAGGGTTGGAGCCCATGTAGAGGGTTTTCAGCGAGTGCTCCAGAGCGAGCATGGTGCTGTACTCCAACGTGACCAGGTTATTGTTCTGCAAGTTTAGGGACTCAATGGAGGACTCTTTGTTCCATATAGGCAGAGTGGTCAGCTGGTTGGTGGACAGATCTACATCTTTGAGGTTTGTCAGGGAGGACAGATCTGTGTTTAGACTGGAAATGTTGTTTTCCCGAAGGAGGAGGTGAACCAGGGAATGCTCTAGACCAGACAGAGAGTCCTTGTCCATGTCCAAACCCGGATTCAGGGACAAGTCTAGAAACTTAAGAGGGGTTTTCATGAATGCGTTTGCAGGTAGAGTCCTCAGATTGTTTTCAGAGAGGTACAGATACTCCAAGTTTTGAATGGAGGAAAAGGACACACAGTTGGGAGGATCCTGGTGGTTTGTGTCCGTTAGTTCATGCTGGTTTTGCTCACAGATTTTCAGATTGTTCTGCTGCAGATGCAGGTGTGTGATACTTGGGAGTCTTTGAAATACATGATGATCCAGGGTTGTGAGGTCGTTTCCTTGTAAGAAGAGCATCTCCAGCGACTGCAGAGTGCTTTTATCAAAAGTCAAACTTTTCAGTGGGTTATTGCTGAGATTGATGATCTTCACTCTCTGGAGGAGGCCTTCGGTGACAGAAAACGAGCTGATACAGTTGTTGCTCACATTCAGCACCTCGAGTGATCCCATGCAGTGAAAAAAACATTCCGGTATGCTTTCAAGCTGGTTGTAACTCATGTCCAGGTATCTGAGTTGATTAAAAATCAAGTTTGCCATTTTTTCTGGGCTTCCCGTTACGTTGAAGCTCTGAAGATGATTTCGTGAAACGTCCAGATATTCCAGCACGTTGTTCTCCGGAAGAAGAGGAAAGTAGGGCATTTTGTTTTCACTCAGATCGAGAGAGACGAGTTTGTAGAAGTCAGACGACGGTAAGCTGCGGAAAAGCTCCATGCTGTTTTTGCTGAGATTTAGCACCTCTAAATTGTAGAGGTTGAAGTCTGTGATGCACGTGATTGAATTCTTGGACAAATCGAGTTCAGTCAGATTATCTAAGGAGTCAAAAGCTCCATCTTCAATCTCCAAGATGACATTATTGTGGAGGCTGATTTTTTTCAAGGACAGGGATCCACTGAAGGTATTTTGTGCTACTTTGGTGATGCTGTTGCTGCTCAGGGAAAGGTTTGTCAGCTGTGGAGATTCAGCAAGGAAGAAGTCCGACATCCCCGTGTACAGCCCGTTGCTTGAAAGATCTAGTGACTCCACCGCCGTGAGAGGGCCAATGTTTGTTTTGGAGTGCGCAAAAACATTCAGGTGATTCCTTGACAGATCCAAGACTTTCAGATCCGTCATATCTTTGAAGAGGCCTGGCTGGATGAAGTGGATCTTGTTGGAGTGGAGATTCAGGTGATGGAAGCCAGTATGGTACGCCAGAGTTTCCTGGGTGAGATTTTGCACCTGGTTTCGAGAGAGGTCCAGCATTTGGATGCCATGAGGAAGGTTGAGCGGTGCACTTCTGAGGCTCAGATCGCTGCAGAACACATCCATCTGGACCTACAAACAAAGACAAGCACACAACACTGATTATGTTGGCTCACTGCCAGACTGCCCGACCATGATACAACGCAGACCAAATGTGTAAAGCGGACATGGAGGGTCGATTTATGAGTCAGTATATCGACGGCATGTTCTTGGCAGCATTACAGTCCACTGAGGCTCATAATGGTGAGTTGTAATGAAAAAAAGACTTTGCTATCATTGTTCTCTTTGAATTAACTGAAAAAGTTAACTGAAAAGAAAAAAATGGCAAAAAAGTTCTTCAACAAAGAACAAAACACACCTCACACCTTTATTACCATTGGCTTATGTCATGTTTTCCCCTTAATAGAACTAAATATTTAAGCTATTAAGTGTCGTTTATAATTCAAACCACATGGCCAAAAGACCCCCGTGTCCAAAAACAGCTCATAAAACTGTCTCCTTCTTTGTTTTCTGTCTGAGGCTGAGTACATTTAGCTTCTTGGAATATTTGTGGTATCGCGAAAGGCCCATTGTTGGTTGCCTACAAGCCAGCTGTAAACAACAAACACATTGATTTATAACAACTGCAGGGCAAAACATCTTGGTTCTGTTATCAGGCACATGGAAACAAACCGGGATTGTGTTTAAGAAAGTGTCATCAGTGCAAGTGTGTTATCAGTAAAGTGATATCGCTGCCTGCGTTTCCTCGCAGCTGTTTACATTTGCGTCAACTCAAATCTTCCTCTGTGTGTATTAACATATGAGTTATGCATGGTGGTTTATGTCACCTGTAGTTATAGTAAAGGCCTTATCTGCGTGCATGCGTCATTAGGAACAAGATAAGGAACATCATGTCTTTGTGTCATTTTTACAGCACAAAAACAGATAAACACAGAGAGTTTGGAGTCCCTCTCTGGTTGTTGATTAAACCCCCTAAAATCTAATCTCTGTGATGCAAAGTTACATATTTAGACCTTTTTTTTCACAAAAAACTTGTTTTAAAATGTTCATTTGAAACTCTACTAGAATTTGAGACTGTCATCACTCCAGTTGTAAGGCGGAAATGTTCAGCCGTGGCGTTGAATGCTCGTTTTGCTCATGATTTGTCTTAAAACGTATTTAAAAAAACACCATATGGAGATGTCAACAAGGTAAAATACTTTGTTCAGCTGAAAGTCCCAGAATTTTTAGCACATGACTGTCAATTGCAGAATGTCGTCACATGGCGATAAGGAGTGCAGAATTTGAATTTTCTTACAGAATCTGGTTAGACCAAATGGGTTACTTTTGGTATTTTTTTTTAAAAGAGACATGTAGAATTGTTTTTTTAGAGCAGATTTTGATTGGCTAGGCGCAGTTTTTCGCTCGCAGGAGCGGCTGAAATTCACCACTACTTTCAAAAAAAAGGGTTCTCCAGTGGGAACAGTGTGACTGGCTGCAATAGTTTTTAATTTGCCTGCAATTATATGTGGTAAATGAAGTTAATTAACAGCAATCAAGACAGGGGAAAAAATGACATTTTAAGAGTTAATGATTGCTGTAGTTGTTCCCTTCTCTCCACACTGGACCTAAACTGACTCCAGTATAAATGTGGGAGACAAAATCCACATCAGGACCCTTGTTTCACACAAAACTACACTGTTAAGTTCAGCCAAAGGTAACATGAAGCTGCTGCAGTCTAAAGTGGAGGGAAACTAACACAAGAAAGGAATCTTATATGAAAGAGATTTAAAGTTTGGGTTGCTCAGGTGGCCTCAGACAGTGGTTTAAAACTTTTTAAAAACCAACTTTAAAACATTTTCCAGACTCACTTCGAGAACCACCACTGTTTACGACACCAACTATGCGCAATATCTCCAGTTTGAGTTTTATTATTCAGTATTGGCTTATTTTATGGTTTTATTAGGGAGCAGCAGTCCAGCGGTGACAGGTAAGTCAGAGTGAAAAGGAGAGCAACATGCAGCAAAGGTCGCCGGACTGGAAGCGAACCAGGAAAGATCACGGTCATCTTAACCAACCTTTTGCTGGATGTCATTCCCCATCTTTCTCCTCCCTTATTTCCTATCACCTCTCCACTTTCAGTTCTCTCATAAAGACTGCAAAATGCTTTTTCTACAGAACAAAGTCTTTGATTTTTTGTTCTCATTTTTTTCTTTCTTCCTCTTGTACCATTCCCAGGAAAAAGACAAAAACCACCAATGAAGTGACCCACGAAGTGTTACCTGTGTGTCCACAGCCTGATATGTGTTACTTTTCTGTGCCACAGAGCTCCTTTGTTTCTCCCAGAAACTACCAACCAAACATCAGTGAGCTGCACTGTCTGACATATTGCTTCATTAACAAAAAACACACACAGTGCTGTTTATTTTCTTTCTGCTGTTTATATCTTTCTTAGATAAGTCAGTGCAGCAAAACGCGCATTAATCCGCAACCAAAAAATAGTCCCCAAACAATCTGCAATTTCCTGCTGTTTTAGTGAAGCTCGCTAAAAGCTACAGATGCTTTAGGAAATAACTTTTATTTTTACCCTCTGAATCCCAAGCAGTTCCTCAAGCCATATTTGTTTTTGCTCATCACATTTTTACTCACTGTTTACCCCTTTGTTTTCTTTTACTACATTATAAAGCCCTGCACTTCCATGGAAACAGCACAACTATGAAGAAGGAGACAGTACTCAAGAATATCTTTTGTGCAGTAAATATTGATGTTACTATGTACATTTTTTTTATTTCTTCTCCTCTCTGCTCTGTGGAAACACAGCCTGCAGTTCAGCCGAAAAGTTCAGAAAATTTTTATTACAACAGTTGGTCACAACTGGGACATTAATGGCTTCACGGTTGTTACCAATGTCACAGAAATGTATTTATTTATTTATTTATTTATTTTTAACAGAATCTGGTTAATGCAAATTGTTTATTTTTGGGAATAAGACATGTAGAACGAAGTGATTGCGATGAAAAAGTAATTTTAGGCATAGATGTGGTTAATTTTTCTGATGGAACGTTTAAACTTAAAATCCAATGACTTTCTCACTTTTTATAGTTTCTGGTGCTGATAAATAATAAAATTGTGATGATATTTTTGGCAGGTGTGGGGGTTCAGTGGGTTAAAAACAAAATGTTACTTGTGAGCTGTTTATAAAGATTCATGTGTTAAGTAGGAAGAGGTGAATATGATAGACATGGTATAGAAAAAATAATACGTTTTGGTCTTTTCATGGGATTTGTGACAAATAATATGCAAATATATACATATACCTTTTATGATGAAATATGAATCTCTCTGCGAATTTGTACAAATGCTTGTATTTACTCTTATCAGCAGCATTTATTCAGACAAATACATTTCATACGATGTAGTTTTGTTATTTGAGACATTTGAATACATTATAAGGCTTTAACTTTGGAATCTGTGCATATACATATAGTGGAGAAACACTGATTGATATTTATAGACACAGTGAACACCACATTAAACAAACGTGACGCACAGTTAAGTTTCACTATCGGGCTATTTTTAGAAAAGATGACATGAAACAAAGTCAGAGCCTGTTTCTTGTGAATGCTCCCGTCTTAATTTAATCCTCCATATGTTTAATTTCAGTGGATTCAGTGAAACTCAGTCAAACACATTAGTAACACCCCTAAGTAATAGGAACAACCCAGCAGTGATTCAGTCAGTTCGTGAGAGAATCTTCTGTGTCATTTTTGTTTTTTCCGAGGAAAATAAAGTGATGCATATACTAGCGTCACAGGACAAGCTCAAACTAAAAGATTATTCAGCAGAAGCTCCAAGGAAAAAGTGTCACAATCCTGTAGGCGATGAAACACCTGGATAACAAGGCGACATCTGCAGTGCAACGTGACACAAAAACACTATTACCAGTGTAGACAGATAACGTCATTAAAGCCTGAAGGTCTGCTGGCAGCACTGAGCTCAAACAAATGAACCGGGTCTGTTAAGGTCAAAAGCTTGCAAATAAACTATGAAATTAAAAAACTTCAAGCAGTCAAAGCAAACTGACAGCAGGTGAAAAAACATTATTTGAATGCAACATGACTGAAAGATGCAGCAAAAACCTACAATTTAACAGGCACTGAATCGCCACTGGACATGCTCTGCTTGCCGGGCTTTACTTACAACTTGGCATGGAGGGAGGTGTCGCGGAGGACGAGCGGACGCTGCCGTGCAGCCGACCAACAGCAGGAAGAGCAGCTGGAAGGTGGCCATGGTGCTGTGGCACAGAGAGAGTCCAGATCAGAAACACATGAATGCAGGAAGCATGCTGTAGGTGATATGATTTAAAAAGGGAAGGAAGCGGCCCTACCTACTGCGTGACATGCTGACCTTTGACGGCGCTATTTATGCCCTCAAATACAAAAGGGGCTTTCTTGCGTATGCGGCGCCATTTCTCATTTACAGTGTGTTTAGCTGCAGAACCGGTAGTACCGAGAAGGGATGACTAAGCAAATGAGCTGTTTCCATCGGTTCTTAGTTTTACTGCACTGTAGGCTATTGTTTTGACACAGAAAACGACTGTTTTGCAAGGCCTCAGTGAGTCATCCTTTACCAGACACTAATTGTTTGCTTCAATATTTCCTGATAGTTTCCCCCGAACCAAACATAACATGTAACCTTACGCTGCAGACAATGTGGGAGTAATTAGTACCACGGTAAGTACCCGTGGGGACGATACACTGATAAACACGTGGAAATTCAGTGTTAAAAATGGCAGAAGTTTACATTAGTTCATGTAAAACCCTCCCACGCATGCAGACAGCTCGTTGTGATTCTTCGCAGGAGCAGATTTAATTCATTAATCCTCGTGATGTTTGCAAGAGGGAGCACAGAAGCATCTTTCATTTTGCTGCCCAGTTAGGTTTAAAGCTGCGTGGCTTCTATCTAATGATGTAGACAGTCAAACACTTATCACGAGTTGCTTTACAGAAAACTTATAAACATTTCCAATCTTGATAAAACATTGCAGTCATTAATCAGCAGCCAGGAAGGTTGAATTTTTCTATGTTGTGCCTCTAATCCGCTATGTTTTGGAGGGAAAATTTGTACTGTTCTACTACAACTAGTTACAAGCTACAGTTATTTCTAAGTCTGAGATATTCCATTAATATTATTTTAAAAATACACTGCGTTGTTTGAGGTGTTTGTCATATTTCAGATCAACCAAAGACACATTTCCCCTCAGATTTCATCAAATTATTTCACCTAAAAGTTTGAGGCCCAAAAGAAGTCCAATTATCGAATATTTCAATGTTATGTTTACAAGAAATCAAAAAAATGTATACAGATTTGTGTTTTTACTATAATTATTAGCTTTGGACCCTTCAGATTTAACTTCTGATCTTGTGAAGGGGCTCAAACCGTAGGTTATAAACCCCCTTGACTGAACTATATCAAACAGATTAAAGTAGCAGGATATTTTTACACTTTGACTTGTGCTACTTTAGGTACATTTTGTTAATCGTAGCTTTAAAGACAGTACTTTATCGGCAGGTATTTGCTTTTATTTTGTATCACAATCTGTAGTCTATTTTCTGACTTATTTTTTAAGGATGTGTTTTAACAAAGTGAGATTTTTGATTCTTTGTTAAAAAAAAAAACAAGTCTTTCTGCACACTGTATATTTATCTTTATAGGTATATATTGTTTGACATGACATATTACAGATCTCTTGTCTCATTTTAAGGTTTGAGTGAATAGATTCTGTACTGTTTAATGTTCAGTGTCAGACGTGAGATCTTGTTAATAAAGATCAATTAAGCATCAATCTGTCAGATCACATGGCACTGTCTCTCACAGAGCAACGAGGGATGTTCTTTCTTTTTAGAATAAATATTTTGGATTTTCAGGCAGGTTGTTTGCAGAAAAGTATTAGAGTAAGTACAACACGCTTTTTGTTAAATACAAAAATTCTGCTTGTAATTGATTTTTTTCACGTCATTTATTTAAAGAATCCGAGTACTTCTTCAGTGACTGCAGCTCCAACAAGCAGCTTTCTGCCCCCACAGTTCAGTCCAATGCTTCCAAAAACCAAAATCATGCGACAACAAAAAGCACTCAAAGACTTCTCCTGAAGCTCAACATTTACCTCACTTTCAGCTGATGACTAATCTTCACAGAGCCTCCTGACCATGTTGATTTCACATCCTCACACACCCACTCGCCGATCGATAGCAACGCCACAAGCGAAAATCTTTCTCTCAGCTGACTCTTCCCTCCACATCGCAGCGTCTCCGGCTGCTGTCCAGCCATCACATCCTGTGAGAATATCCTGGTCCTGGCCCCTTATCCCCCTCCCACTGCTCTCACTGGGAAAAGCCATATAAGGGGGTTGGGAAGTCCAGTTTTTATGCTCCACTTCAAGGAGACACAACCCCCACTACTCCAAACATGCCAGCTATTAATCCTAAAGTTGGATGATCTCTTTGGAAATAGTTTGGATATTCTCACATACCAGTCTCCGCTTGGAATTTGGGGTATTCAGCCTCGGCTCTCCTTATATATCATCTTTTCAAAGCAGCCTTTTATGGTTAAAGAGGTTTTGATGCTTCCTATCTCCACCCAGACAGAACAAAACATGAGCAGCAGTAGGTTATTGATGGATTTCCAAAATCTGTCCACCCCTGAGAGACGAGTGGGCGTGATGAAAAATCACACATCCCCTTTGTGAATGTGGGAGCGAGTCGGGTTCATCATGTGATTTTTTTTCTTCTTCTCTGGTTTGCCACACTGTAAACAAACACCACTGTAAGTATAATGAGTAAGACCACTTTACACACGCAGACAATTAGATTTAAATGACTGTACATCTGGCTGCGCCTGGGAAAATGTGCGAATTAACTTTCTCCTCAATCAACGACAACTGCCTGAGTGCTCTTGAGCATCTCAGTGGAGCTGTTCACTGTGTTTCAAACACATAAAATTATCTTCTTTTTTTTAAAACTACAGCCTGTTCTGGCTTCAGTTTTTTTAAAAGATTCTATGCAACCGAGTGAAAAAAAACTATATAGAAGTGTAGTTTACAAAGTGATTAATACTTTTCTGACACTGATTTTTCATCAGTCACTGTCTGGTGGAAACAGTCTTTCTCCAAAAAATCATCGTCTTAAAAAACTCCGGAATTTTGTGAGGTACCATGAAATTAAAGGAAGCCGTCAGATGCATTTCTTTCAACAAAATCCATGACAAGATGTGGAATGACCCATAAACAGGTTTCTAACAGACCTATGTAGCTTTTCTAGACCAAATTGACAGGTTTGGACAAAATATACGGCACTATACAGGAACTTTAAGCCCTAGATCTCATGCAACACCATCAAGGAGGCGTCTGATTGATCCCAAGCTCATCCTGCAGCGCAACAACGAGCCCAAACATCCAACCTGACCTGTAAAGAATTGTCTTCATCAACTGAAGACATTACACCAACTTTACCTGCTCCAACATTAAAGTGATGATTCAATAATACTTCTTATTGTAATCTAGTAATTTGCATTGTTTTGAAATATGCCATTCTCCACAATGATGTTATTTTGATGCTGACACTTTTATGCTTTTACTCATGTATAAAGTTAATTGCATGACTTTTACAAAGTAAAAGCAGTCAAACAGTTAAAGCTCTGAGTCCTTCCACTTCTTCTGGCAGGTTAACTATCATCTACAAATATGTTTAAGAAGCCATGTTTAAGAAATATTTATATATCTTTTCATTCAAAATTACACTTAAGTTAAAGCACAGAAGTAAAATCAACAAGAAAATGAAGAAAAATAGCTCCTTAGGGTGTTATTATTCGTAGTAGTAGTAGCAGCATTTTTCAGTTTTCTACTTGAAAACCCCACAAAGAAGATAAAACTATGGTATCGCCATCTGTTACAGTTGAAAGCTCTGGTAGAAATTAGTAAATGAATGTTGACTTATTTCTAAGGTCGGGGGGGATTATGGTGTTGAAAATAAAAGTCCAAAAATTGCTGTGGATGCAGCTGAAAAACATATTGGGCTCAGTAGCCCACTGATGAAGACAGTGTCAGATGGGTGAAAGCTCCAGAAAAAAAGCCGGCAAGTGGCGTTTGAGTTTTGGTTTTCCGAGATGCAGTGATGTTTTGAAGGTAAAATCCAAAATCACAAATAATTATTACGGCGTCCATCTACATCTGGTGTGGTAGAGGGCTCTAGTAGAAGTTAGTAAATGAATGTTTAGTGATATTTAAGTCGAAGAGAAACTTTGATGTTTACTTTAACAGTCTAAAAGTGCTGTGCTCAACAGACCCATCACAACTGATGAAGACAGTGTCATAGGGCTGAGAGTTCCAGAAAAAGGGCCTTGGGTTTGAATTTTCCAAGATGAACCTTTGACTTAACACAGAATAGAGCTAAATCTGTAGCTGAATCTGTAACTGTGTAATTAAATTACAAGTCAAAAAGTACAAGATTTCCACCTTATTAGCAGTAGGAGTAGCGCATATACTCCCAAATAGACATGAAGAAAAAAATACGGCGTGTTGCCATTTGATATGGTTGAAAGCTCCAGGCGAAGCTAGAGCATGGACGTTGAGTTATTTCTGAGGTTGAGGAGGAACTTTAATGTTCAAGATCAAAGTCTAAAAGCAGCTAAAAAACCTACTGGGCTCAACAAACCAGTCAATAGTGATGAAGAGTGTCATATGGCTGAAAACTCCAGAAAAAGACAGTAAGTCCCAGAGGAAAGTCTTACTGCTAAATGTATGTTCTTCTATAGCTTGGGAGACAAAATTGTGATTCTTGTTTTAGCTTTGATTTGGTCCAATAGATTTTCATATCAGCTATATATGCATATGCATGTATATATACACACATATATATGTATCTATGGCATGCCATTTAGGAAATTATATATATATATATATATATATATATATATGTCTGAATATTTGGAATGAAACTCTGAATACATATAATGAAAGTCTGCATATATATATAATGAAACTCTGAATATACATAATGAATCTCTATGAGTTTCCATAGAGATGGTGGTGCGCATAGACGCAGTAGCCCCTTCAGGAGACAGCCAGAGTGAAAGTTTTGAGTGTCTTGTCTATCCCAGACGTTCATTCCACAAAACTTGCAGCCGAGAGACATCTGGGCAATGAATGTTGCTGAAATTGCAGCAGTTGGTTGTGATTTGGACCATACAACATGGAGTCCAAGTCAGACTACACCAGCAGGGTAAACATAAACAAAGGAGGTTCAAACTGTTTATGGAGAGGGTGTCCTGCTTCTGCAGCGGCTCTGGAAAAGTTCAGAGCTAGCTGTCTGTCTGTCCACCCGGAACGATGTCATCTCCTCCAGCTGTATGGCCGTCTGGGATGTTGTCATGGAGCCATGTTTCTGGAAAAGCAAACACACAGCAGTCTTTCCACTCTCTGCGGGTTTCTCTCAGCAAACGTAGCTCGTCCAGCTTGTTGTCAAGGGAGCACACATTGGAGAGTAGAAGCAACGGTCCTGCTGGTCTGGAGGGGTTAGCCTTTAACCGAGCATGGATCCCGGCTCTCTTCCTCCTCCATATATTCAGTGTTTCATTATTCAGACTTTCATTATATATATAATTTCCCAAACGGCATGCCATATGTATCAATATGTCCATCCATTCATCCATTATCTATACACTGCTTAATCCTCATTAGGGTCGCGGGGGGGCTAGAGCCTATCCTGACTTAGGGTGAAGGCAGGGGACACCCTGGACAGGTCACCAGTCCATCGCAGGGCCACACTTAGAGACAGACAACCAAGCACACTCACATTCACACCTACGGACAATTTAGAATCACCAACTAACCTCAACATGTTTTTGGACTGTGTGGGAGGAAGCCGGAGAACCCGGAGAGAACCCACATTGCACGGGGAGAACATGCAAACTCCACACAGAAAGATCCCGGTGCCCCCACCGGGACGCGAACCGGCGACCTTGCTGCGAGGCAACAGTGCTACCAACTGCGCCACCTTGCAGCCCTGTATCAATATGTATTTATATATAAACACACATTTATTTATTAAAATAGGTTTGACAACATATTAGGAAGATTTTATATATATAATTCAGTACAGTGGCTGTATTACATTAGTATAAAATAAAGCTCATATGCAGCTCGCATGTGGTTTAATTGAGAAAAAAATTGAGCCATTAGTTGAAGTTTGGAATCATCTACTTTAAATCTCAAGTATGGCTCCTGTTGCTAATTGTTCTCCTCCTTTCTCACCTATATCTGCTTTGTGAATTTTAGGAGAATAGTATGAGAAACATATCAGACGAAATCCAAACTCAAACCAGGCTGAAATTAGAATCACAATTTTGTCTCCAAAGCCAATAGAGAAGCAAAGCAGAATACAGTTTAATCTCTGACTATACACAAATTTAAGTTAATATTTTAAATTAACATCTCAAAACAGGAGTAAAAAGCCCAACAGTTCCCCATCTGACGTTTAGTAGAGATGGAAGTGTTTGAGTAAATGTACTTAGTTATTTTTCCACTGACAAGGAAACAGGTGCCAAACTAACAAAAAGCAGCTTGAGCAGGTGAGAGTGAGCCTTACCTGGTGTGTTGTCTGTTGCTTGTTGTACATTGGTTTCATATTCGCGGTCCTTTTATTCTGCATCATGTTTTATGGAGTTCACACACACACACACACACAGACACACAAAGAGAGAGAGAGAAAAAAAGACACACAACACATGATGCACACCTCCTTGCAGGGGTAACCCCCTCTCATTCCCAGCCTCTGTTTCATTTTCCTTGCAGCTCGGTGTCACTGTCTCTGAAGGGTGTGTGGAGATTTTTTTTCTCCTCAGATTTTTGTTTCCTGGAGAGACACGGTGAGATCAGTGCAATGTTATTGCAGCGCAGTAATTTATCAGTAATTCAATGAGCTCTCGCCCCGCTGAGCGTTAAGCTTTCACTTACTCTGCCTCCTGCTGCTCACACACAGACAGTGCATCATTTATTGGTCTGTTTCCAGTCGTTGGCTTCACTACCTGCTACTTTTCTGCTTTATGACCACATTTCAGAGGCAAATATTGTGCATTTTTAATCCATTTCTTCATTAATTTTCATACTTTTCTGTACTAATTATCTTGCAGAAAACTAAACAAAAATCAAATAAATTATAAGCTGCATCATTTAGGTGAATGTTATCCTTGAAAGCAGCAATAATTATGATCCAGCAATAAAAAAAACATTATTGCAAAACAAGCAATAAGGACTTTTGATGTATTGTGATGCTAATATTTATTATTTTACTTCAGTACATGTTTGAGAACATGACTTTAGCTTTTTACTTGGTCTGAGCACCGACACATTATTTTCCTGTTTTCATTTAATTTATCATTTTATTTTTATCTTAGTTTATTTACACTAAAGATTAAACCTTCACAAAACAGAAGCATCTGGGGATTAACCGCTGT